TGAATGATGGTAAATGGATGGGACAACGTTCAACAACATTTTACATGAGCGGCGATGGTTTATTTTATTTTTTATTTTATTTTTTATTTAAAAAAAAAATAATAGTGTTGTTAGTTAGTTGGTAAGTAAGTAGGTAATCTAATGCAGTAACAAATTAGTAATTGGAGAAAATCGGCGCAAGGGGTGAGGATGAAATCATACTAATTGTAAAAATGTAATATTAGTTACTTGCCCACTTGCGCACATACGTATAGTAACAATAAGAATGATAATGATTGTGACGTCTAAAAAATCAAGTTACCCAAATTAAAAAAAGAAAATATTATTTAACCACGTGGTTGTCACGATACGAGAGCATTCCCATATTTGTGATGTTTGGGTAACCATTAAGATGAGGACCAACAATAAAGTGTGGCCGTGAATTTATGCCTGATGCAGTTTTTTGGTAAGTAGATAGGTAAACAAACGAGTACAATGCAAAAAATGTACTTTTTTTTTTTATTCGGTTTGCCAGGTGCGTGCTGATTAGTGAGCGCACCGTGCATCAAAACAGATGCAAAGGGGAAAGAAAGCAGCGAGCGAGGTGACCGCTGGCATCATAGGTGCATCATCAAAATCATTTTCGATGATGATCATCACCATCATCATCATCACGCCATACACCACCCTTCTATCTAATTATTGTGATGGGCGAGGGTAATAAGGGTGACGTTTTTTGATACTCAAATTTCATCAATTTGGAATGGTCTGCAATCAAAAGAGGGTAATTAGTGATTAGGCAGTAATTAATAAACTTTATTTCATGCATCAGTCTTTTACTTTTTTATACCGATACACCCGCATCAAGATGATAGGCCAAGAGTGACGGTGACTGGTCACGGCCGAACGATCCCCTCCTTTCAGGAAGGAAGATCGAAGAAATGCGAGTTGACAAATTGTTCCTCCTCTCTGTTGATGTTTCTATTGACGCGCAACCACCCGTGCTTACCGCATTTCGACCTCTGGGTTCTCATTGGTCGACAAATTAATAAACAAATAACAAGTCTCCTTCGGAAAATTGTTATTCAAAGCCATAATTTACCAGCAAGAAAATGTGTTCCAAATTTGGAGAGATTCACAAATGTCAGAGGAAGCTGCTCCCATTTAAGGAGTAATGGGTTCTGGAAATGGCATCGATCGTGTATCATTCGCAAATGGTAATTTTCTTTGGCAATGCACCGACTGTACTTAGCGGGAACTCTGGCGAGGCTGTGACGGAAGTGTCAACGATGACGATGACGGAGGTTGCACCCGACGTTGATACGGGTGAGAGTGCCCACACATACCGCAGACGGATTTCATGACATGCCGCCAAGAACGTGACGACAGAAGAATCTGAGCCAAGAACTCGAGAGGGAAGACGTGGGTGCGCAAGCGTGCGTGGATCATTTTGATTTACTCGTGGAAGTAAATATTACACCATCCATACAGTTAATGTGATAAGTTATCTAGACTACGGACAATGTTGAAATCGAAAATCGGATCTTTTTCAAGATGGGCAGGATGTGTTCATTGCGTCTATCAATTAGTCAGGTTTGTTGTCATCGTCAGTCACCAGAATTTTCGGAAATACTTGGGAGGAGTTTACCCAATGCGTGCGACCACCGTCCGTAGCTTGGTCACCAGCGTCACTGCGTAGCTCATATTTGTCATCACGCCTATTTTAGTATTTAAAGTTAGTATAAATAATTAACTTTAACAGTTAGCGAATTAGGTGATAGGCAAAATAATCGCCTGAAGATATGATTGCGAAAGAAGAAAGTTTAGGATACACCAAAAATGACACCGTTACGTTATTAATATACAACATACGTATGACAAAGGCGATATAATCTGACTCATTTCCTGCTCCTAGAATCGACATTCTACATGCTTTTTTCTTTACTCTTAACATATACAATAAGTGGAATGGTAGGTGTTGCCCGCATTAAAAAAAAGCTATTTTATACACACCATACATGTACGCAACTACCCATACCATATCATCCAATTTTGATTATTGTTATTTTTATTTTTATTTATTTTATTTTATTTTATTTTATTTTATTTTATATGCAAGTAATGTTACCACTGTTGTGATATATGATTATTTATACGGAGTTTAAACTTATTCATGCCTAAAAGGGTGTGTGGCTGCGGAAAGATAAAAGCTTCCCAAATTTTCCGTGGTTGCTGTTTTTCTCTTCTCGTACACTCGCCTGTATAATTGTGTAAAGAATTCGTCAGTCAAACATCCAGAGCAAAGGAAACATGCGTTTGTTGTAACTGATACCAAGGTGATTATTGATTAATCAAATCTTTCTTTCTTTCTTTCTTTCTTCCGTTCGTTCGTCCGTCCATCCTTCATTCATTCATTCATTCATTCATTATCTCACCGGAGATCACTAAATTCTTTTTCTTTTTTTCTTTTCCCTCTGACCAACCATCATTATCCACAGCCTTCCGTAACCATGAAGCGTCGGAAAAACGTCTTGACCAGGTCTAATTGTCTTTTGGAAGAAGACAATACAACAAAATAACATTCGCACTCTTAAATTATAAAAAGAATTTCCAAAGAACTTTTCCTATTATTTGCATCTTTTTCTAGCTAATAAAAAAAAACAAAGTAACGAACGTTACACAAAATATTTCGATTTCCTTTAACTCACATACATACATACATACATACGCACATTATTGAAAACAGCCTTTTTTTTTTTATAAAAAAAAAAAGAAATCTCGTCTTCAACCCTTCTATTACACCCTTCCATTTGTTTTCACCGAGTACAAGCTGTGTGATAACTACAAGTTTCACCAGCGCAGGATTTTCTTATCATTTGCTTCGGTCTGTTGGACAAGAATTTCCCCGACAACTGATACACACAAATTAGGGAACATCTGACCGGTTTTTTACTACGCTCTTTTCAACTAATTATACTACGCTTATCACTTACTACTGTGCCACCCTTGATTGTGATAGATTTTACATAAAAGGGGACCACTCCCGCTTCAACCTTCCGTTAACTTTTTTTACTCTTTTCTTTTTTATCTAATACTGAGAGATACAATAGCATCAACAAACTTTATACAAAAAAAAAAAACAATGGCGTCCTTCGTTGACTTGCCGCATATATACAACTTATCTGTAAACAAGTTTCACAATTTTCACGAACGCGAGGGCTTACGAAAATTTGCGTTGCTAAACAACTTTTTATACACCAAATTTGAAGCCCTAGAACAAGAGCCTTTTGAATGGTCGGAGGAGGAAGTCAAAAAGGATGAAATGAATTGGTTTGATGCTTGCCTGGATAGCCTTGACGAAGAAGAGAACGGCTACGTCTACATCAAACTAATGAACAAGGACGATGCGATGGAACTCGAGGGACAAGATTCCGACATACATCTCACCGAAGACATAATAATACCTGAGGATCTTCTTCACCTACCATACTTCGTTCCAGACACTGTTCACATGGCGATCGACCAAGAAGAGGAAGAAACATTTGCTGAAACCTACGAAACCGTGGATACGAATCCCGAAGGGGTTGAACTGAAAAAAGACGAAGACATAAACATGGTCGACTACTCTGACACATCATCGGACACCGAGAGATCCTTTCACCCTTACTGGAAAGACAATAGTATAATAGCTTCATCTCCTGCGGATTTTTGCCGTCCGTTCCCTAACTCCAATGGTATGCCACGTTTGTTCCAAAGGTATCGACTGGGTCGGGATGACTTTATCATGAAACCACTTGACTCTCGTGCCGTCTTAGGTCTGTTGGACCACAAGAGATCGAAAGATGACCTTGACATTCTTTGCTCGTTCGCTCCCAGGGACCTAGATCAAGGTGCCCTGATGGACGTAATTAGCATGTTGGAATGCCGTGGTGAAAAAAAGAATGATGATTCGAAAAAAAACCCACCCCTGTCGTCGCTAGAAGATGATAAGATATGGTTCATTCGTTGACGGACGGACGATCGATCGACGACAAAAAAATGACTTTCTTGTAATTAAATTGTTCATAGAAAATTATTCTCCCTTGTTTCTACTAACCTTCCTCTTCTCAATTTCATTTTCACTTGTATTTTTGTTCTTTTTTTCCTTCCTTTTTTTTTTCTTTCCCATTTCCTTCTACCCACTCTGTTAAATAAGTACCTCATATGGTTCACATGCATCTCATTATCACCCACAAAATCACGAACAATATTATGTAAAGAATATTTTTCTTTCTTCTTTTATTAATTTTGATGACATTGACAAATTATATACAAAAAAGAAAAAAAAAAAATCAAAAGAAAAAAATCCAAAAAAAAAAAAAAAACTGTAAAAAATTGAACAAAAGATGTATAATTTGCCCTTTCATGCCTTTGCGTAATACTTTTCCGGGGAATCTTCTCTTTCTTTGTCATATGTTTTTATTAAATGACTCTCCACAGGATTCTCGATTCAATCTCTTTTTGAACACTTTCATCTCCCTCTTAGTTAAGATTACCTCACAACCTAAGGAAACATTTTTGATCTAGAATTTTTCTTTACCACCCGTTACAAACATTTTGGGAACTTGTAAAGCGAAAATGATAATTTAATAAAGATTTTCGTCGGTTCTTAGGAATTACGGAATACGATCTTGTTTCCACGAAGCGAAGATCCGACTTCCGCTTTTTTCCTTTAAACTCTCCCATAAAAAAAAAAAAAAACAATAATTTTTGCTTAGTTATTATGACGTGATATTACCAATTTTCGAGTTTGATGGTGTTATACCACAATCATGCTTTCGTGCTTGAAAATAAAAATGAGCATATATAACCGTGATAAGTTGAATTTCTGTGGCGCATCGTGTATAACAACAATACGTATGTGACGAAAGCGGGTTTTTTTATTTTGATTTTTTTTGGAAATTTGTTTAATAAAGAATTGAATTTGTCATCAAACATGAAAGAAACCACGTTTTTCAGAGAAAAAAATTGTCATTCTACAGTCACTTGCTCCATCGTTTGTTATGTGACTTACGTCATATCGATTTTTTTAATCCGCGCCACCTGATTAAATTCAAATGGTCATGGGGGGTCGGTGTGTTTCACTCTGGCCGTGGTTTCTTTCGTAACTTTGCAGTGAATCAATTGCCCGATCAAACAATGATTTGATCGTTGGTGCAATAAAATGCGCACAAGTTAGCCCATTTTTTTATTATTGTCGTGCACTGGACAAAAATGACAATCGATTTTGGCAATTTTCTTTGCTGTTCACCTCTACCCCACAATTTCGGAGTTTGTGTCGGCGTTGCTTATTTGAGTTTGCGCCACGATACTTTTCGTTCTAAAATCCAATAAATAAATTCTCAATAGAAAAACAATGAATGATATACTGTATGTTTCCAAAGTCCTTCCTTTGATGATGTTTCGTTTTACATTTACCCATCTTATTCAACAGCGAATCACAGACAGGTGCATCAGGTTCACCCGTTCCGAAAAGGTTACCTGAGATTATCACTATCTTTCTTCCTTCATCACCGTTCGACTTCCTTTTAAAACCCTATGGATTTGGTTAGCATGTAGTATTAGGTGTGTGAATGTGTGAAAGAAAATCGGTAAAGATGCGCATACGTAGGGTGCTACGCATTTTTTGATCTTAAATTTTTTAAGTTTTTACAAGTAAACATTAATGATAAATATTTACAAATCCTATCATAATAGGAATGCATGATCTCTTTTCTTATGTATGCACGAATTAAAATTTATTTGTCCCGTAGAACTGTTTTGGAAATTCTCAAAAAGACCCTTCTGCCCTTGAAATTGGATCCAATATGAATAAATAAAGTAAATAAATAAAGTCATTCTTACTTTTCATATCATATCCCATATAGATTCAAGTCCCAGAGTCAGGCTAAAACACCTGATCCTCCGTTAAATATTTGAGCAAGATATTTCTGGCACCATTCGCGTCCCACCGAGATCATTTCTTACGAATCCACGATTCCCACATGTCCTTGATGTATACTCTTCGGTGCATTCAATGACCTGAACCTTTTTCCGTGAAGAGTTGTATCGCGACATTCGGATACCGTATCGCGTGTATTATTAAACTGTCGTTGTCAAAAATGATGTGAATACGCCAATCGGCACTATTGTGCGACCCGGATGACTCACAAAATTCGTCGCATTCCTGTTGGTCGCATTATCGAAGACAAGTAATTGATGATGCAATTGTACATACGCAGCCATGGACAATAACGCAATCTTTGTGTAAGATTCATCACTTTTACGAGTAATTGTGTGATAACGAGCCTATGCATCCGATTGGTCAAAGGTTGCGGAATTATTGGCATGAATAACAAGTTTTTTGAAATTTCCGATTGCCGCGAAGTAATTTGTTCGTTCGGGCATCCCAGGTATGCGCTCAGTTGAAATACAGTATATACATAAATAAATGGGAGGATCTCGTAAACTTTATTTTAATAAAACACAGTCAGTTACGAAATCGTTGTTTGTCCTGATTTATTAAGAATTGATTTCTTTTATATTGCACCTTATTTTAATTTCATTATTATCACATATCTTGATTGTTGGTCAATTTTGTAAATTATATACATACATTCTGTACACCCATTTATTTATCAAGTAAATTCGGATGCTTATTTGTTACAAGAGACACATGCGAAATATTTCTAAAAACAGAGGGTATTGTATAAACCACGCACGGGATTATTTTAATTCCAATTCTCTTTTTTTAACAAAATATATAGCGGATTGCAAAATAAGAAGATTATAAAGATCCTTTTAAAAATAGATCTAAATATATGCTATAAAAATTTTGTATTAATTGATAGATAGATTATGTTTACTCTTTCAAAGTTCAATAAGCATTATAAATATATATAAATATATATACTGTATATATTTATTTATTTGGCTCAGACTTTTAATGTTATTATTTACTTATTTAGATTAAATTTCACCTGTTGCATCTCTTTTATATCATGTAAGTTGCATTGTGTACTGTACATATGTTTATATTATAATATTAGTCCAAATTAAATTATTCAAACACTAAATTATTGTTAAATTTATCAATAAAAATTTATATCAAAGTTTTATTATTTAATACTATATTTAAAAAATATATTTAATAATTAAAAAAGAAACATTTAATAATTAAAAAAAGAAACATTTAATAATTAAAAAAAGAAATATTTAAAAATAAAACATTTGTCAATGAAATATATTTGATAATAAAAAATTTATAATTAAAACTTATAAAATTTAATAAATAAATAATTATTTTTGACAATAACAAATATCAAATCTTATTTTAAAGATAATACTTATATAATTTAAAATTTAGAATAACAATTATAAAGTTTAAACAATCCTTGTTTGTTTTTAAAAATATAAAAAAAAATACAATTTAATTTAATTATATATATTAAATTTTTTATTTCTTTTTCTTATATTTATCTTTTTTATAATAAATTTTAACTATATGATAAATATTTGAAATATTTATTTGCTTAAACAATATAACATTTTTTGAAATTTTTAATAAAAAAAAAACTAGATAAAAATTACAAATTTTATATTCAAGTTTTTAAAAAAATTTTTTTTACTTATTTATTAAAAATGAAATAAGTTTTTTAAAAGTTTTTATTAACTTATTGTTTATTATATATTTTTTTAACTTTGTAATTTAATTAAAATAATATTTTTATAAAAAGATAAAAAATAATAGTTAACCAAAATAACTTTGTTAACTTAGATAATATATTTTTTTAAATTTTTTAATTTATTTATATAATATTTTTAATAGATATTCAATTACTCTTTTAAAAACTAATTTTAAAAACTTTATTTTTTCAAAATGTTTTAAATTCCCGATATTTTTTTGTAATTATACTTATTATTATTAAGTTATTTTAAATTTTAAATTTATAAATTATATAACTAAAATCTAAATTAAAAAAATTAAAAAATTATATATATATAAAAAAACACTTTCCCACTTCTCCTTTTATGCTTGAAAATTTTCTTTTTAGGAAATCTTTGAGTTGTTTACTTTTTCTTCACTTTTCCCTTTCCTTTCTTTTTTATTTTTTCTTTTCTATACCTTTTATTCCCTCTTTTCTATTTTTACCTCTTCTTTCTATATACTTTTTTTTTATACTTCATCCCTTCTCTTTTCTTTTTTCTCTTCCCTGTTGAAGTAAGGTTTTTCTTTCTTTCTAAAGGTTTTCTCTCTAATTCTCTCTTTCTTTTATAAACCTGCTCTCCATAATATCAATCCTTTAGCAGTTGACTTCTTTTTTTTAAGACCATATTTAGAAATGGTAACTTCTCTCAAGATATGGGCTTTAGAATTTTTCTCTCTATTATAGCCTTACAGAAAAAGGACAGATGGTTTATCCTTCCAAAAGATCGACATGGTCATCATTACCAAATCCAGTGTTTTTTACTTGTTGATAATTAAACTAGATATATCTAAGAAACCAGTGTATAACTATTATTATCTGAAAATATCCAAGAAGTTGTGCTTCACTATATCCAGAAAAATATGGCAGCCAATGTCAATACAGCTAGCAATAAGCTAGATTAGTTTGTAGATGTCATACTGGTAATTGAAAAAACCTAGTAGAATAATACATAAAGATCAAGGATTTTAATTATCCCATAATACAAGCTGATGACAACAACAAAAGTTTCTCGCTCACCTCTCTGACAATATAGACTCATTGTACAAGGTTAGGTAATAACATTTATAAGAAACTTCAATTTTATAACATTCGACAACCTCTCTCAACAACCACTATTACATATTCAAACACCCTCTTCTATTTTTTCCTGTCTTATACTTGGGCTGGATTCTACTCAAATACTTAAATGATACATCTATGTGTACAAAACTTCTTATGAAGAGTGGCTGTTCTCTTTCTTACTTGTCACAGGTATAGACAACTGCCACAGGCCTGGTCAACC